TATAGCTTCCAAAGTGTTTTCGTAAATGTAACAGAATTATGTATTTCTATTAATGCTTGGGAAACGAAACTTTATTAATAATCTCTTACGTAAGAGCACAACTTTATGGTGTATATATAAGCTTTGCAATTACTTTTATTGCAGGCAAAAATAAATTTTAGCTATCCATACAAATTGCATACATTTTATTACTTTGCACATATCGCTTACGTTTGTAAAACGGATTATTTTCCACATTAAAATACGAAGGTTTTTTTAAAGCATCCCGAATGTAGAGTAATTTTTTACTTGCTTAATATTAAGTTATATTATTCTGGTAAATATAATGAATGAACATTTTCAAATCTTTCACTATGTTAAAAATCAATCCACATTCAAAATAATTTGTCCTGACTGGCACAGTTTACACTGTAAGAGCTAAGAAGCTGATATTTTTACAGTAGTTACATTGTTTTATTTCAATTCCAGCCGCACGTGAATAAATCGAATAATACGCTTGAACAATACCTTTTTGTTTACCATCCTTTGTGAAAATGCATATGATACGTGTATCGTACTCTTCGCAAAACTCACCCTCTGGGATGAAAAATGCTTGTGAAAGGTATTTTGTTTATTTATCGGCTTTAAGCTTCACACTGCAAGACCAACATTGGTCGGAAAACGTTGGACTCAACTCTTTCCTTGCAATTCAATGGACTTCAAACGCATTTTCAGAGGGGAAATAAGTGTTAAATAGGTGTCTTAAATTTTGAGCAAAAGTCTAGGATCGAGCAAGGCCGTTAAATCATGACTAGAAACATTAAATTAATTTGCAATTATGACGACTTTTTATGAAACCTTAAAAAAAAAAGCAGAATTAGGGTAAATATATCACTCTCCATGCAGTGCTCAATTAAACTTTGGCGACTTCCAAGGCCAACGACTACGACAGCTACAGCTACAACTGGAACGCTCTGAGGCTGTGGCCTCGCCCAGTGTGCATCTAATTAACAACATTCGGAGCTGTGCGCCTACCCACACAGAGCCAGGGCCAAAGCAAGCCAAATTTATCCAGCAACTGCGGGAGGTCTGGCTGGCCCATGGCGGGCGCAAAGTTTTTGGCCACTTCTGTTGCCGGCTGCGTCTTCTTTTTTTTTTCTGCAGGCGGCGAGTGTATTAATTTTAAGGGCACATTGCTTTGCATAAATGCGAGGCGGAGGCGTGTCGGGTTATTAACAATGTTAAAAGCAAACGCCAGCAACAACAACAACAGCAACAGCAACAACAACAATGCCAGGACACTAGACCAGAGGACACTTGGTGTGTGACTGCCGCCGCCATTACCGCGAACTTAATGCGGAATAATTCCTTCCGTGTTGACAGTGTGCAAAAAGTTTTCGGGGCACAAATTTCTGGTCCGGCCGACAGCCGACAAGGATGAGTGCTAGGACGAGCACGAGGACGAGGTCCATTCTCAGACTGAGGCCGTTTGGTTGGTTGCTCGCTTCGGATTTTTTATTGTTGCGGACAATGAATAAGCCGCAAAAGTTTTCGAGCACTTGGCATATCCTATTCCTGTAACTGGCACCCTCTATTCCCCTCTCCCCTCTCCCCTCCTGCTTGCCTATACCCGCCGCCTGGCACAGCGGGTGGCCCTGGTAATTGTGTGTTTTAATTGAAGATTGCCAACGTGTCTGACGACGCTGTCTCTAAATTAAAAATTTAATTACATTTAACATGATGATTATTATTTCTCTTTTTGTATAACCGCAGCGCAGTAATCGTTGCTGTTCTTGTTGGCGTTTTTGTCGCGAGTGACATGCGGCATGTGTGCGCTTGCCCAGGGGGGGTGAGTTGGGGTTAAGGTATACATATTTCTATGTTGAATGACTTTTGAAGTTTGTTGGCGCGTCGCGGGGTCGGTCTGCAATCAGGCGCCCCTTGCTGTCTGTGCCCATGCCTTGATCTGCATACATTTACATTCCAATAACGCTCAAGTGGACGACAGAAGTGCACTTGGTCGGTCGGTTGGTCGGCTAGCCGTGCCACGCCCACGCTCACGCCCATGCCAAAGCTGCCGACCCCGCCCTCGCCCGACAAGTGCATTGCATGTCAGTCACAGCAGTATCAGAAGCAGCTGCCATTCAAGTGTTGTCCCGAGCACGAGTGCGACTCTGAATGCACGCCCATCGCTCTATATGGTCTGCCTACACACACACACACACACGCACACACAGACTGACATACATGCACACCGATATAAATGCATGTGCATAATCATAATAGCCACGGCCTGAACTTTTCTCATTAAGCGTGTTTAGCTGCTTGAAATGATTTAGGAAAAGTAAAACAAGTCAAGTTATAATGTTTTAATCTCAATTATGGTACTTGCCACCATTTCGCCTGCATCTCTTCACTTAGCTCGACTTGTCTCAGCCAACGGCATTCGTAATCCCACACGAGAAGTGTAGATTGTGTGTGTGTTTGTGTGTGTGTGTGTGTCATGTTTGCCTTGGCATAACTTAAAAATTCCATTTCAATTTGCATTTGTGGTTCTGGATGGCCTTTGAATTTTGCCTTCGTTAGCAGCACCCGCAGCAGCTATCAATGTAAATTAGAAAACGTGGTGCTTCATTTCGATTCGTTGCCTTGGGGTGTGGCATATTTTCATTTTCTTTTTCTTTTGCTGTGTTTATTTTTTCACTTTCAAAAGCTGCCTTTCAATATGACCGACATCTGCTACTGCGAAGCTACAGAATAACCTTCAAACTTAATTGCAAAGCGCACGTTTGCTAAATCATTTGCATTAACCAATGGACACGCCACCCGCCTCTGACCCGCCTCTGACCCGCCCTGACCCGCCTCTGACCCATCTTGTTGCCTCTCTCTTTCTGTGGCTGTGAGCCTTTCACCTTTTGCGGTTCATAGCTCATTGCATCTCAAGTAGTCCGTTTGTTTTCAGCACAGAGAAAAGCGAATTTGCTTAAATTAAAATTTGTAGTTTAGTACTTAATGCCACTTGAGCAGGCCGCGCCCCTAAGTAGGCTACACAATATGCGCATTGATTGCAATGCCAATGGAGGGTTTGTAGTTTCCGATCCGCTGACTATATGAACCACGGCATCAAAATATCGAGAATAAAACATAAAATATAATTAACATGAAATGCTAGCTGCTCAAATTGCTTCACCAATCGCTGGAGCCCGCGCCGCCCTTCCCCCTACCCAACCAGTTACAGGCAACTGTAATCGAAATATTTAATTAGTGCGAAAATGCTTTTGAATGCCAATTAGTGGCAAATTAACATTTCCACAGAGCTGCTCGCATTGAACGGAGTTTTTCTCTCCCTCGTTTTTATAATTCTTCTCTTTGTCATTCTTTTTATTTTCCCAGCTACCGCATAGAGCGCAAATTAAAGACACAATCAGAACAAATTAATCAAGTCCGATTGCTGCTACCGCTGATTGATGTGGCCTGTTCTGCTCCTGTACCCCGCCACCCCTTTCTGATTCAAAGAGTGAGACAGAGAGAGAGAGAGAGAGAGGGTGTGCGAGAGAAAGACATACAGTGACAGGATATGGTCGGTGGGTGGCAAATTATATTCATAAGCGCATATTTCGCTCTGTTTCGCATTGTACTATATAAGTTAAAACAAACATTGCCCCATCTTTCGACATTGCAACGACGGCCCCTTCGCTTGATGCCATTATTTATTATTATTTAAGGTCGGCCACTTGCGAATTTGAAAAATGTTCCATGGAGTATTGGTAAATGAGTTTGGAAATTTTATGTGCGCGCGAATGAGTTTTCAATTTATATTTCGTGTTCGAAAAAAATAAGACAAGCAAAAGAATGTTGTTCATGGCAAATTCGATTTTATTTATTTATGATTATACGACAAGCGATTTTTTTACAGCGCCTGTGGCGCATTCTAGGGTGCTCTTGGGTATATATAGTACGATTTGAATTTGTTAATCATAATTAAGAATATTATTTTATAAGCTAGAAAGAAAAGCAGAAAGTAGATTCAAGCATTCAACTAGAACTGACCAAATGTGAGCATTCGGAAATGTTTTGGTTTGAGAAACATTTTAAATGCTGTCCCAGAAATGTTGTCGCTTTGCACTTGGCCAGCAATTTATTGCGTACTTTGCGGCTGTTGTTTTTATTAATGAGTGCAGCACAGAGCAAGCACTGCGGCTCTGCTGATATGATCAACTATTACATGCCTCTCCTGAAAACAATTTCAGCTCCACGCACTCGCTAATTCACTGTCTAAGTCCGACGTTGATTTCTACTCAATAAAAATCAATTTGTGCATTCATCACGAGCTGTTACAACGTATCGTCCAGAAGGGAATATACCCACACATATTTGGAACAAAGGGTATAAACACAAACATGAATGCGAAACGTATTCAGCGCGAGGTTGGTCTGCTTCAGTTGCTTCTAGTCGCGCCATAAAATATTTTGCACATTGCGCAATATTTCAGTTAGTTGTATTCGCACTTTTCAAATTGTGCAGGACTCGCACACACACACACACACACACACACACACACAGTCACACACTCACACGACACAGCCAAAAAATGGCAAATAAAAATTGCGCATAACTGCCAGTTAGTGTGGTTGAGAGAGCGAGAGAGGGAGACTGGAAAAAGACAGCAATAGCGTGGCGCTTTCATTTGGCCAGCAGCTTTAGATGCTATTGTTGTTTTTATTGGTGTTGTTGTTGCCGCAGGCTGCATTTGGCGCCCCAGTCGCCATTGTCCACATTTAAATAAATATTTACACAATATTTGAATGTTTTCGCAATTCCATTTGTTGAAATGCAAACTTTGCTGGAACGGACAAGACACATACGCGGCACTACGGCGAGATTTGTACGTTTCATTGACAAAAGATGATAAAATGAAAGCAGAAAATAAAAAAAAATAAATCTATTTATTGCTAAGAGCATCTTTGATAAAACCTGTGGAGGGAGGCGCACTATGTGATCGCATGCTTAATTTCACTTACATCAACATTAATGCCTGCAACGGGGAAGACAAATGTGGGCGTCGCCTCGCGCGGCACATAGCGATAGAACTCTTCCTGGCCAAAGTACCAGCGCACCGAGTACAGCGCCGCCTGCAAAAAAAAAAAATGAAGAAGAAGCAGCGTTAATGAAAAGGTTGAATGGATGGCCGCCAACAGAAGAAGAAGGATACGTCCTCGACAACGAGTACGAGTACGAGTACGAGTACGAGTACGAGTACGAGAATAAGGACTACGACAGCGAAGACAAAGTGCTAGTAATTATAATAATTAAACAAGCCGTCGCCGTCGCCGTCGCCGTCGCCGTCGCTGTTCTCGAGCCCGTGTCCGTTCCTGTGCTCATTCCCATTTCAATTGTCACACTCATTCCCCAAGGAAGTCTCACTTACCTTCTCCAAATCGTATTGACAGGACAATGTCGCTGCATTGCCCATGATGACTGCTTCCGGCACGAATATCTTAAGATCCTTCAGTCCATGAGCTGTAAAAGTGAAAAAATGAAAGCAAACGCAAAGGATGAGAGATACACATTAAGGCCAGCTGAAAAATTAATCAGCTTATGATGCAGTCCTATGTCCATTCCTGTTCACATTTAAGTGTTAAAGTGCACCGCATCGAGAACTTTACGGCGTGGAAAGTGGAATCCATTGGACTCATTGCAAAGCCTACGGTTTGAACTCGATTATGTCACGGCATAAAAACTTAATTACACGCGTTCAGGGATCGGATGCGCGAGCAGTTGGAATTGCGGGTGTCTGCAGCCGGATCCGTTTACATGTTAATTTATGACAATGCATCGAGCAGCACCGTGTGGCTTGAATTTAATGCAATTTACTTAATTTTTATTTTCGTATTCATGTGTATTTTTTTATTTTTTTCGTCGCCCTTTGCTTTAATTGAGAAATGTGGCGCATGCTCTGTTAAACAATTAACATTGCATAAACGTGCGCCACACGGCGTATGAGCGATGCGGCGTAATCAACTTAATTTGTCGCCATTTAGATAGACGGAAAAAAGGGAGTCTGATTAATTTGGAATTTGTTGCATTTTAAATACAAATACATAGTTGGATTGCCCAAAAGATAAAATGTTTATTTTGATAATGTGGATAACAAAAGGAATGCTTTATTTTACTTTGACATGTGACAGTCGTGTAATCTGTTGCATAATTGTTATCGCTTTGAAATCAATGATTTTATAAGCGTTATCCTTTGACTGGCAACAGAATAATTGAAAAATTATATAACTCGTGCGGAGTAGAAATGCCGGCTATGGGCACACGTGGAACTGGTCAATTGGATGACCAGCATGCGGTAGGCCGAATTATGGCAGCTTTAATTGAACAAACCAATATTCATCAAACGCTTTACAGTTCAGCCCGACTGAACTCGTGGCGAGTGCCGGGTAAATTATGTGTAATATTTTATAAATTGACTGGTTAACGAGTGTGCGTGCTTTTATATCTATGAGTGTGGGTGGAGTGCAATGCATAATGTTAACAGTCATTGGGCAAATTAAATAATCGATTGTAGCCACATTTGAGCACGTAGTTCGCATAATAAATGCAGCGGTACAAAGGGCAGACAGACAGACAAATGTATACGAACTCTATTTAACTATTTTGTGAATGTAGTATAAGCTACACTTATTTGTGTAAGCATACTTACCGCTCGGCAATAAATTGGAGATTATAATGCAGCTCAAAGCCAGCATATTGAATACTGCATGCAAAGCGGGTAAGCCTTGCCTCGGTCTGAGCACGCAGGATCTTCGTCCTTTTACTTTTCCGCCATGGCTGCCCATTTTTATAGTTGCGCTGCAAAGAGTAGTTTGAGAGTTAGACGCATGTGTGAGTAAAAGTTGCAAGTTGCAAGTTGCATGTTGCATGTAATCATATTTGAATTGATGCTCTCGTGCTTATTGATAACTAGCCTGGCTTGGCCTGGCCTGCTTGTTAAAGTTGCCACATGCACCCTGCCACAGCCACAGGCAAAGGCACAGGCACAGCTACTGCTGTCGCTGTTCCTGTAAAGCGCGCATCCTTTGTCAGTTTGACAACTTTCTAAGGCTTTTAAATGACACGCGTGCGCAAGTTTCAGCAGCGTCGACGTGCTTAAAAACTTTGCAGCAAGACAAAAACCTTTAACTAAGCATCACAAACACACACACACACACACATAGATTCGTGCTGGCAATACCCATACGCAACGTGCACCAGAAGCAGCTTGATACACAGTGTGATTGAAGACGAGCACCGACCGGTGTCTGACATTTCGAATAGATTGAGTGTGTGTGTGTGTGTGTGTGTGTGTGTGTGTTTGATTGGCAGTCGAATGGACAGACTGATGGACAGGCAGACATATGCTCAGAAAGCTGACCACAGCATTGAAAACAATTGTCAGCTGCTAGTTGCAGTTGCAACTTTCCTGACGACTTGCCTGTTGGGTTGCTGCTGCTCTTCTTGCTGCTGTTTCATTGTATCAATTAGACCGCAACTAACAACAACAACAACAACAACCAGAAAAACAAGACTTCGAGCAACAGTGTTATGCTGTCGTGGCCACAAAAACAAAAGCTAATGGTCAGAAGTTACAAATGTGGCACATTGCCAAGCAACAAAATTTGATAATGATATTAAGGCATTAACTCAGGGCGAGCTAAGAACTTAAGCATGGCTTCAGGACTTAAACTTATTTAGCTCTTTGGCAATTCGAGTAAGCAGCACACATAAACATAAAGCTCGGGAACGCAGCTTAAATGGCATTTTCGAAAAACACAACACGCAAAATGCACGCACAATATTGCGTAAAGTGCCATTAGACCGGCATCGGGTCGGGTCGTTCGCCAAGCAACTCTCCAATCATTTTGTGCTTTCAAGCGAAAGACTCAAAGTTATTGTCCCTTAACCACAGACAACAACAAAAAAAAACAGAGGGCAGAAACAAAATACAAGAAAGCCATTTAACTAACTACGAGCTGAGATGCGAGCTGTGCATTTTGCACGCCCATCGACGGCGAAACCTTTTCGACATTTTATCTACAACCATATCGTTTTGCAAATTGTCCAGGAGATTGGGATGCGTGTCCTTCGATTTGTTTGCCGGCATGCCTGCTCTCATGTGAGCATTTAAATTAAATTTAAATATTATTGTTGGCAAGTCGATTAAGCCCGGGTCATCATTTCAACTTTAATGTCTTTGTTTTATGGCTCTGAACGCCTGGCACGCAGCTAACATATATACCGGGCAGCGTTCTAGGAGTCAGTCTCCGTTATGATGTACCAATACAAATGCAAATTCCTTGTGGTTGTCATGTCCTTATCCCACGCTCCCGCATTCCGCCCGAACTACTGGCCCGATTGTTATTGTTGGCTGCTTCTGCTTCTGCTGCTGCTGCTGCTGCTTTTGTTATTGCTCATGCCATGGGAATTTCGAAAATTTCTATTACGCATAAATTTTATAACAACAAACTCTCAATTATTTCATTATGATTTTAATTAAAATTTTCGATCAGAAACATAAACTTCGCCATTGCGTCAATATGAATGCCGACCGACTGCCGACCGACTGCTGTGCCCTGTAACCCTTTATTTCGGTTAGAAATCTGCGTTAATTTTGGGCTGAGGAATTTGCTAATTTAAAATTAATTTCAAATACTTGCTTTATATTTATAAACTTTCAAATAAATACAATTTCGCTACGTCGAAAAAATATTGTTTTTAAAAGTATTTTAATGATTGATACTGAAAGTTTTAAATTCTCAATATACATCGTCTTACTTGAAAATCGAGGAAAAGGGTGAGTACATTTGGGAAGGTGATTTGAAATTATTTGAGATTATTTGCATATTTGAAAACTCGATTGCAATGGACCGAGGAATATAATTACAGAAAAACCTGTTGTTTGAGTTGTCTTTCTTTTGTTTTCGATAATTACATGCGCATAACTTTATGATTCTTTTTGCTGATTTTTATGGATGCGAGGCATAAAGAAAACGTTTCGGCACTTAACAATTCAATAAACCTTGATTTTATTCTATTTAAATGCCATTTTGTAGACAAAAACCAAACGAATTCTAATGGGAAAATGTTGAAAGTACAATTAAAAAAGTTACAGCTAAGCTCAATAAAAGCTACGCGCCTTGTGTGCGTGTGTATGCTTGTGGGTGTGTGTCGGGGAGCTTAACTTTTTTTAATGTGTAATAAAACAGTTGATTATGACGTCATTAACGCAAGTCTAAGCACGCTAGCAAAATGCCGGAAACCCTGAAAAAATAATCAAATTAATTTTTTATGTAGAAAGTTTGCAATTTACCAATAAGCTGCGAAACTCAGCCTTGGAAGCTGCGTGAAGCTTAGCCGGAGAGAAGATGTAGCTAAAGGGGGGAGGGGGGGGTGGGGCCAGAGGGTGGCAATGCTAACGTTGGATATTCAAATTGGAAATTCAATTGAAAGTCAAATCAAAACAAAACAAACGAAATCCCGTGATTGACAACATTTCAACTGATAATGAGCACTTTGCTTCAAGGCCAAAGCACGGAGAGAGAGAGAGTTTGAGATAAGTGAGACGAGAATGAGATACAACAGGATGTGTCAGCACTGCTATCGGCACGGGTATTGGATAGAAAGCTGTCTGTACTTGTAGGCGGATACTGACATTCCTTTCGTGGCATAGAATAAAAAGAGAAGAGAGATGGAGTGCCAAGTCACAGATGGCCGACTGGTGTCCATGACGGAAGTCCTGACGTGCAACAATGCTGACCCAGCAGTGAGGCTGCGGCATCCTGGTCGCTCTCAATTGCCAACACTATTGATTTCAGTCTCAGTCTCAGTCTCAGTTTCAGTTTCAGTTTATTTAATGCCAATCTACGCCCTTTGAGCCGGCCACGTAGCCAATTTGCAGATAGGTATCGCCAATATGAGCAGAAATTGGCTTGCTTAGCCGATTAAGGTGGGCTTTAACAATGGCAACTTGAGTCCAGGCTCAACCATACTTAAAGTGTTTCAGGCAGGCGTGTGTGTTGGGGCGCCATCATTCACCTACACACATACTATATGATTCATTTGTTAATCGCCAGCTGTCAGAGCAGCGCACACATCTACACGAAAACAATAATCGCAAGTCAAGAGAAATCGCTGCCAATATACAAACACACATATATTTATATATATATTTACATATATGTGTGGGAAACAAATACTTATTTATATAAAGCGTTAAATGCGCCTTTGATTGATGCGACACTCGCTCAAGGGCCACTCATTAGGTTTAGTGCCACAGTGTCTGCCACACACACGATAACTCCAGGCTGCCAGGCTCTACAGAAGTTCCTCCGACTGAGTAGCTGGGCCTCTAATCAATCAATCTGTGTTTATGCTTTGCCCCAGCACAATGGCAGCACAAAGGGAGAAAAAAAAAAGAATGAAGAAGAATGAAGGCGGCGCATAATGAACAAAGCGAAAAGCGAAACTTGGCGAAACAATTGCCTCAGTTGCTGCATCGTTTGACGAATGCCCCCAGGCAAATCTCAATCCAAATCCAAATACGGAATACTATAATCGGTTCCATGCCACTGGTTAGCCAAGCATCAAGAGTGCCGCACAATAAAGGCAACCAGCAGCCACCAAAAATGCCATCTATGTTTGCTTTGTGCGGCGTTGGCGTTTTTACAACTTCCGTTTCTGGGACAGAGTTCATCACAGGTTCACACAGAGTGGCAAAGGCATTGGCGAGGGGATTGGCAACGGCAACGGCAACGGCAAAGGCAAGATTCCTGATTGCCAATGAAGGATTAATACGCCGGTTGCTCCTGCTCCTGCTCCTGCTGCTGTTGCTGTTGCTGATGCTGCTGGTGATTCGAGACGCTTTGATTGCAGCAGCGTGTCGCTGCAGGCGACAGTCACCAGGACCCTGCGGAAGCTTTGTGTAATGACACAAAGGATTGCAAATTGCCAAGGCACTTCCTGAGAGGACATTGATTTAGGTTTCGTTTTCTTTTTTTATGATAATAGTATGAGTTCCGCATGCAGATCATAACCACAATTGCTCGACTTGGTCAGCAAGCATGGCCACAATCGGATCTCAAGATTTGGCTTTAATTATACGTGGCAGACTAATGAGTTATTTGCCATCCATCACAGATATTACAGGATGCCCCATTTGCCATAGCCGCTTGTTCAAAATTGAATCAAGTACTAAATGCGGTTTGCCATTTCGACTGGCAGCTGACTCCGGCACCAGCTAATTGCTGCACTGAGTACATGTGGTCAATGCGGCCGGAAGTGGCCCAAATTTGGTTGGTCATGATGATAACGCATTGCGCAGTAATAAGCATATATAACATATAGATATATATAACATTTAGAGAAAAAAGCACCAAGTAGCCGAGTAAATATGGGCATGTTCGCCTGTTTCTTTCTATGAAAAGTGTGCATCTTTTCAACTGAAACTGTTCGGAAAGGACCACTGGATTATATAGCTGTCATAAATATCATCGATCGAAATTAAAATTCTTGTAATAACAACATTTTGCATTACTAGTTTGCTATGCTTCTTTACTATGATCTAAATTATCTATGAAGGTAAAAAATATTGCAGTTATTTGCTTTATTCTTGAAATATCTCTATATATATAAAACTGTTTGCCCTGACTGATAATTTTGAAGCTATAATTTTCAGTGCAGTTCCCTCACGCTAGGCAGGGGCTTCGAGAAATTTCACTCACAAGTGTGGAAAAAGCGCGGAAAGTGCTTGTTTGAAACTTTTTGGTACATAATCCCATATGTTTCGCAGAATTCAAGCTTCCTCGCTCAAAGGT